CTTACCTATCCGAACTTGTCTCCCCTTACAAACCTTCCAGGGATTTAAGATCATCTGGGGAGGCCCTGCTTTTGATCCCAGCTTCTTCACAGGTGTTTTTCACGGGGACGAGAGACAGGGCCTTCTCAGTGGTGACCCCTTGGCTGTGGAACACCCTTCCTGGGGATATTAGATCAGCCCCCTCCCTCCTGACTGTTAGGAAAAGAGTGAAAACCTGGCTCTTTGAGCAAGCTTTTGGAACCTCATTGTAACCAGACAACTCAGAATTGTGAATGAATATGGAACGGCTTAATGATGCAAATAAACATGGATTTTAACCCAGAAGTCATTGATTTTTTATTGTTTTAAATAGTTTTTATTATGATTTTTATTATGTGATTTAACCTGTTTTAAATGATGTATTTATACATATAAATTTGGCGTCTAATTGTTGCCTGCTTGTACACTGCCCTGAGTCTCTTTCAGGTTGAAAAGGACGGGATAAAAGTGTAGTAAATAAATAAATAAACAAGATAAGTTCTGCAGATTTGTTCTTAGGTTGAATTTGCATGTAAGTCGGAACAGGTACAGGCAGCTCCAGCCATATAGATATATAGATGTTAAATAATTAAATTTCACAGTGAATTTGGTCAAAACTTCACTCCCACACAGGGACTAAATCTAGTCTTTGCTTTTTTGTAACCACTCACCTCTACATTTCCTCTTCATTCCTCCAGAGTTCATATCTGAGCACATCTGATCTGAAAGGGGAGTAAGCATGTGATTTATCAACAGCTGCAATATAACCAGGCACTCTGAACTGTCCTGGAACAAAGTGAAATGAGAAGCGATAACAGGATCTGATATGTCAGCTGAAACTCAAATCCAAGATGAATTGAAGTATAGTGGGAAATTGCATGCTGTGAATTAACTATAAAGAAAGTACCCTGTTTCCCCAAAATAAGTCATGGTCTCATATTATTTTTTCTTCTCCAAAAGATGCATTAGGGCTTATTTTCAGGGGATGTCTTAGTTTCCCAAATTGACTTTTTTAATGAACTGTAGGGTTTATTTTTGAAGTAAAGCTTATATTTCAAGCAGCCTCAAAATCATGCTAGGGTTGATTTTTTTGGGGTAGGTCCTATTTTGGGAAAACAGAGTATATTTCTCTTCTTGCACTTGTATTTAGCATAATATATATATTGTTTTGGCATTCATATACCTCCAGTGCTTGGAATAAATCACACACAAACATACACTTCCAAGTTGCTGTAATGCATAAGATGTAAAGTGTTCTTCTGTCAAGTTTCATCTCATTCATTTTCCATTTTTCCACTGCTGTGCTTGTTCCAGCTTAAGTCTGTATCAGAATGTAAACCCTTTTATCTTGAATATACATTAAAATTGTGCATTTCCGTGTCCAAATATATATGCAATTTATGCACATTTCTACACAAATTAATTGTCAATTAAAAAGCAGCTTATCTGCTTTCAGTATAACTGTTTCCATATAAAAAGTTTTCTCTGGAGATAAAAATATCTCCAGCTCCTGAAACTAAACCTGGCCAATGTGGCAGTTTCACCCTTGCAATCCCATGTTCTCCTGAAAATTGTGAATTGAGTATTTTAATCTCAAAACAGATTTTTGCCCCTATCTTTACCTGCCCTATATGTAGCATCTGCATGATCTCATTAAAAAGAATCCACAATCCTTAAGCACCCATTGATCTTTTGTGAGCCCTACTCCTGCAGCTTTGTAGAAGATTGGCCAGTGCTAGATCTGAGGCAACATCTAGACCTACTGAATCAGTGAGATGTAACATTCAGCAATTTATTGAACAGATCTACTCTAGCTGGGGCTAACTAATGACATTAATGGATGGTGAGGAAAAGGAGGGACATTCCAGATTAGTTGTCAGTCTTTAATGCAATCAGATAATATGTTCATGTGCATACTTTAAAGTCACCAACTGCTACATCATTGACTAACTGAATACGTTTATGTACGCATGAATCCTGTGTATGATGACAAAGTGGTTAGTCTCACTGAGGCTGGATCTACACTGCTATATAATACAGATGATCAAAACATATAATTCACATTATCTGATTTGGACTGAATTATGAGTCTACACTGCCATATAATCCAATTCAAAGCAGATAATACGGGTTGTATAGGTCAGCGTAAAAGGGACCAGAGCTCACTAGGAATCAAGAAAGGTTCTGAAGTTCCAATGCATTTCAGTATGTAAAATCACTGAAACTGCAATGTAAATTTAGTACTTTGTTCCTTCTGTTAAAGATGTGCCTGATTAAAAATGTATAACTTGTAACTGGATCTTCGCTGCCATATAATCCAGAATATCGAAGTAAATAATCCACATTATCTGCTTTGAACTGGGTTACTTTGGATTTTATATGGCAGTGTAGATAAAGGCTCATAAAAACCATGTTATCAGAATGGATGTACACAAAAGCTGAAATGTCCTGCAGAGGGCAGCATCATCCTAGCAAATATCCATCAGGGTGTTTTTAGTGAACTCAGAAAATATTCATAATTTCTGAGCATATGTCTTTCAACACTATTCATACCCTTTTAGACAGTGGCAGGGAAATGTAGACTGAGTGAGCATTCAAATTATTCAATTATTATGACTCGTTTGCTTGTACTTCTGTAGCTGTCATTAACTCTTGAATAGAGATGTAAATCAGATTTAGACTAAGCTATAATTCCTAATTGATGGGAGCATTTTGGAATGGCATTGGTGTTTCCTAAGATGAAAGAAGCTTAATTGAAAGTCACCTTTGGGTTCATCTACAGGGTAGAATTAATAGTTTGACAACACTTTAACTGCTGCAGCCCAGTGCTGTGGAATCCTGGGATGTGCAGTTTGGTGAGGCACCAACACTCTTTAGCAGAAAAGGCTAAAGACCTTATGAAACCACAACCTCCATGATCCCATAGCATTGAGTCATGGCAGTTAAGTGATATCAAACTAGATTTTTGTGATATCTGTCATTGCATAAAGGTATGTCTGTCTGGACCAGCAATAACTGATTGTGGCAGCATTCATTACACTTCAATGTTTGAGAGAGAGGAGCCTGAAAACGTGGTTGTTCCAGTGTGCCTTCCCAGAATAAGGAAACTCCCAGCAATATGTCCTCTAAATGCACTTTGTTATTGATCTAGGAGTGTCTGCATGCCCATCCCTCTCTGAAAACTCTATCCTAGTCATATTCCACCTGTTCATGCTCAGCATTATTTTTAAATTTTAATTATTACATTTGGCCCAGCCATAGGTTTTTAAACATCATTGTGTTACTGTTAATGTTTATTGCTTATTTTCTGTTATGTGTTTTATTTTTATTGTTTTGTATTACTTGTTGTTATTGTTTTTATTGTTGATGTATTGTGGGCTCGGCCTCATGTAAGCCGCACCGAGTCCCTTGGGGAGATGGTAGCGGGGTATAAATAAAGTATTATTATTATTATTATTGATCATTGACTATTGAAAATCCCAAGTAGCATCAGGAAGGGTGCATCAGACGAAAAACCCAGGCAGTTATTTCACTGATTATATCATTGCCTTGTGAGTGTGATATGTTTTCAAATGATTTTTTTCACATTTTTAACTTTTTGTGAATTGCTTTGTTTTGTAATATTTATTTTGTTGTAGAAAAACACAGTTCCTTCATGAAAAACCAATATACTGTAAAGAAAATATTTTTTAAAATAAACTAGGACAGTGTTCTGTCAGGTTGGAAAGTCCTCTAACCTGGACATTCATTTTCCATAGAGTTATTTCGAGAGCAATTTCATGGACTAGTGGGACATGCTGGGAAGCTGCCAGTGGCCCTTAGATCTCAAGAAGGCCCAATGCTTTCTCAAACTATGTTAGAAGTTTAATGTGCATAGTTGCACATCCTTTGCTGGTAGATCTCTCAGATGTATGATGCAGAAACTTGTTAATGGAAGAAACATTTCCAGAAACTATTCTTAGAAGAATATTGGACTAACGAAAAATGTCACAGTTAAAAAATGATTCTGCACAATTTTTTGCACATAAAATAACTCTATCTGTCCACAAAACAGCGTTTTTGTTCAGAAAAGTGTATTTTCCTCATATAAATATTTTATGCACAGAAGATATTGCTTCCTACTCAAAACAATCACACCTGAATTTTGCACAAAATATTGATTTGTGAATAGGCTTCAAAAAAAGCATTGCTTTCTCACAGTGGTAAGAAAATTCCCAGAATTAAGCATTGCCTGTATTCATGAGAATAATATAATTTCATTTACTGTTAAATGAACTGATATGTCAAAGTAAAACAATTTCTCCTCCTGCCTGAACTCCTAAACCTTTGGAGGTTTTAATATCACCTCAGTAAATGAAATTGCCACTTTTAGATGGTGCAGAATTTGTGTGCAGTTAATTTGTGCTCATACCTAAGGCACGCTGCAAATTGTTTGTAAGATTTTATGAACCTGTAGCCTCTAATTCACTTGCAGTATAAATCATTACACCTAGATCAAGGAACTGATATCAAAATCAATCTAACTCTTATGTAGCAAAAATGGGAAAAGGCTATTATAAAAGATGCTGTCAAAGTCTAAAACACATTATATTACATGTAGTTTGTTTATTTAACAAAAATGTATAAAGGAGCCTATGAAAAAAAAGTTGAGTATCCCTTATTCAAAATGCTTGGGATCGGATTTTGGATTTTCCCCTGCAGATTTTTGAATATTTGCATATATATAATGTATAAACTTGGAGACACAAATTCCATGTATGTTTTATATACATTGCAAAGATTCCACCAATTTGTAACGATGCTACCACTTTGTAAAGATGACACCAGAAGCAGTAGGGCCGTCACTGATTTATCAGGGTCTCCTACTATTTGTAATGGATTTATAGAATTGATAACACAGCTAATAGCTTATAATATTTTGTTGGGCTTTCTTTAATGTGTAGCGTGGCTTGACTTGAAAGTATTCGTAACAGAGACTTAGCTTTAAGAGAAACTGTAACAAGTTTATTGAAGTATAAAAGAAGCTTAATGGTTTCAATGTTTCTTAACTCCTAGAGGCACATTTCTTTAGAGGTTACATTTATAACATTTCATAAAGCAACTCTTGAGAGGACTGTTCCTTCCACTAAACAGGTTTTAACTTTATTTTTCTTCAAACTGAGTTTCTTTCCTTAACAGTTCGCTTCAGGTACCAGCTTATTCTTTCCCTATGTTATTTCTATTGCAGTAAATATGCTTACTGGGGTTCTCTCCCCTTTTTGTTCATACACCAACTACTAATCTAAATAAGTCAACTTGACCTATCTAAACCACACAGGCTAAAAGCCTAAACCTTCCTGGTTCTCAACACAGTAGACCCAGCCTTTCCCTGTAGTTCTCTAACTACAGACTGCTTCCCTGATTCTCAACTCTGTAGAACCAGCCTTTCCTGCAGTTCTCAGACTACAGGCTGACTGTTTTAAAATGCCTGCCCTGCCAAGTGGCAGTTGGCTCTTCCCCTTTTTCCACAGCAACCCAGCTCAGAGTGAGCAGAGCTGGCTACCATCCCCCCCGCCAGTTATGTTATTTCAAATACTTACCCTTTTAAACACCTATCTATAATTATACCTAACTGTAGGTTAAAATTCACACTTCATCACATACACCTTATACACATAGGCTAAAGGTAGTTTTATGCATAGTATTTTTAATATTTTTGTTCATGAAACAAAGTTTATTTACAACTAACTATTAGAAAGCAAATATGTCTAAGTCACCCATGTGAACAATTTTACATTTTGAAATACTTCAGATTGCGGGATTCCAGATAAGGAATTCCTTAAAATTAAATGGCAGGGCTAAGAATGGAAGTCCTGTGTTAGAACAATGTAGTATAAAGGAGCATTATAAAATGTCTGGTCCCTGTTACTCAAGGAACAAAAAATGAATTTTTGATGCATAAAATTATAGAAAAATATATTAAAACTAATCAAGGGGCATTCTTAGTAGGCACAACAGATAGATCACTCTGAAGACATATGACAGACTTTTCATTCTAATGATAGCTGCAGCAAGAATTGTGGATGTGTGGATATGAAAACTAGAAGAAACACCAGAATGAAAGAATGGATAGTAAAAGTAGCTGTAATAGCAGAATTTGACATTTTGACAAGATATCTTCAGATGAAAGACTCTTCAATATTCAGGAAAAATGGGAAACCCTTCAAAACAATTTCCTGGAAGAAGAAAGAATTCCAAGATGGGGATTTCATGTTTAAACATTGATTATATTATATTGTACACAATCAATTAGATCATAAGGAAACCTGTATTCTTAAATCCAAGTCAATGATGAAGTCCATCTTCTAATTCTCACAGTTTATAATAACTCTGCTGCGGATATTTTGAATAAGAAAAGCAATTCAGTAGGAATACCAGGGACCCCAAAATTCCTAGTCTTCTAATCCAAAATCACACGACACTTCTGTGCAGGATCAGAATATTACTTTGAAAGTAAATAGTTCTGGGTGTGATTCCTATAAAATTTACAGTTGAAAAAGAAACACAAAAAGCAGTATAAAATATGAATGAATAATGTGGATGGGAACTGTTAAATAAGGCAAGTATAGACAATAAGGCAAACAAATATATAATCAATGTTACAAAGTGGTAAATTTCCAGAGTGTTTTAGTACAGGAAATGAAGCTATATCCTTTCAATGACAATTTCTCCAGCAATCAGCTTCACCCGTTTCTTTCTTTTTCGACGGATTTTCATTATGCCTTTTTGTCCTTGCTTTGGAATGAAACCTAAAAGGAAACAGTACAGTGACCATATTATTCTCACTTTCCCTTGAAGTCTCTATTCTAATTGTACATTGGAAACATTTGAAGGTAGAAACCTTGCTTCCCATTCTTTCTAAAACATCATGTTCGGATAGCACCATGCTGGAGCCCCCGTTGGGGCAGTGGGTTAAACCCCTGTGCCAGGAGGACTGAAGACCGGCAGGTCGCAGGTTCGAATCCGGGGAGAGGCGGATGAGCTCCTTCTATCAGCTCCAGCTCCTCATGTGGGGACATGAGAGAAACCTCCCACAAGGATGATAAAAACATCAATTCATCTGGGCGTCCCCTGGGCAACGTCCTTGCAGACGGCCAATTCTCTCACACCAGAAGCAACTTGCAGTTTCTCAAATCACTCCTGACACGACCCAAAAAAAGCACCATGCTACTCAAAATGATGGTCCCTGGACCATTACTGGTCACTGAACCATTAGCTTCCAGTCCTTGGTGCTGATACAGGAAAGAAACAGTTATAATCAAATGGTTACAACTATGGTGCTGATCTCTGGCACAGTATCTTTCTTACCTTTCTTACACATCTGAAGGCATGACTTCCTAGTGGTAAAATTATTTTCATTCCCACCACATCCACTGTAGCTGAATGGGCGGCACTTCCCGATAGTGTAATTGTAGAAGAATCTTTTTTCCTGGGCTCTGCAAATGCCTCTGTCCACACGCATGACACAGAGAGAAGGAAGAAGATCTTGGCCTAGAGAGATGGAGAAAATATGAATAGAAACAGCTAAATGTTGCGTGCTGTTCTTTTTCACCCTGAATTTTCTGCAGTTTGATGTTCCTGCATTGGAACACACAGTATGATACTTCAGTGGACTGTCCATACAGTGGAGATGTTCTGGAACAACTTTTTTGGAGAAGATCTGCAGAACCACCAATGTGACATTGATAATAGATGGAATCAATACTGCCTAGGACAGACTAAGTCAAAAGAGCTTTGTCCAGGAAGAGCCTAATAAAACCATTGTCACCCTTTGTTCTCTCTGCAGTGGTGGAGAGAGGTGCTGAAAACAGCTACTGCCATTTTTGAACAGGCATTACAAAAGTCCAGAAGTGGCATTGTGTCACTCAAAGATACTGCATTGACCCATGTACAAGCTGACCCATGTTTGGAGGGGTTGATTTTTAAAAATAATCTTGAATTATACACAGTATATGGTATTTAATGCTACAAGTCAGGCCCGTAGCCAGGATTTCGATTCGGGGGGGGGGGGCTGAGTTTTTTTCAGGGGGGGTTCGGGGGGGGGGCTGGGTTTGGGGGGGGGCTGAGTCTGAGTGAAAGAGGGTCTACCCTAGCAAACCTTTTGTATCATTACCCCAATACCCCCATGCATATGGGATATATTGAGTATGGTGATCAGATCATGATATGAATAAACATAACAGTTTAAATAATGCACCAGTAAGGCCTTTTCATGAACCACCATGAGAATTTTGGGGGGGGGGCTGAAGCCCGTCAAGTGCCCCCCCCCCCGGCTAAATGCTTCCTACAAGTATCACATAGTGTAGGCCTAAGGAAAACATCTTTAGATTGTCCCCCATCCAAGTATTAATTGGCCCTGCTTAGATTCCAAAATCAAGCAAAATAATGTGTATTCAATGCAGTTTTGTTGTGGTTATTTGTTACCAAGTCAACTTTGACTTACAATAATCCTATGTATGTGAGACCTCTGAGAGCTTCAGAAATCAAATGCTGTCCTCAGGTCTTACAGCTCAGAGTTGTGGATTACTTGATTGAACAAACCCATCCATAGTACAGGCTCCTTTTTTCCCTGATTACCTTCAACTTTACCAAGTATTACCATATTTTTCAATGAATCATAGTGTCTCGTGATATATTCAAAACAAGGTTTCAGTTTAGTGATTTTGGCTTCTAGGGGGAGTTCAGGTTTATTTATCTCTGGGACCCATTTATTTGTCTTTTTGGTTGACATTGTATTCATAGAACTCTTCTCCAGAAATGCATATCAAATAATTTATTTATTTATTTATTTATTTATTAATTTGGGGTGCTTCTACCCCGCACTTCTCAACCCCCTAGGGGGGACTCAGGGCGGCTTACAAAGGCACAATTCGATGCCTAACAATTACAACATACAATGCAATATACAATACATAAATTTAAGACATAATATCACAGTTATAACTGATTAAAACAATCACACAATAAACTAGCAGCAATTAAAATACATCTTGTGGTCAGTGGTCACCAAGTCCAAGTCCATAAACCATTTAGCATTGTCACTGTCCTTTCCTACTCTAGTCATTATTGGTTGTCTTTGTCCATCTGCCAGCCTACCCGAAGGCCTGGTCCCACATCCAGGTTTTTTTTCTGTCTCCTGTCTTCATTGTTCAACTTTCACAACCTTACATTTAAAAAAATAGTCTGAATGATGAGGAACATCATGCCCATGAACAAGCAGATGATTTGACAAAGTTGTGAAGCTCTTACTCAGAAAAATTAAAAATGAATCAGTCTACCTGATCTGGAGTAGTGTAGCCTATAAATAGCAGTGGAATAAGCAACCTCTTTCTTTGAATAGGGGCTCACACTAAGAAGATCAGGCATAACTGCATACTCAACTACAAAGGACTCCCTCCCACAAAATGACAAAAGAGCCTATCCATGGACACTGTGGGTGTGAAGGATAGCTTCATGTTTTCATCTTCAACAAAAAGGCACTTCAAGTTTGTTTGTTTTGCCTCTGTATTATAATGGAAAAACCATTTCTACATTGGTTTTGTGTTTTAAAATCTATTTTGCATAAAACATTGTATTATATAAAAAAACAACAAAAGTTTGTTAGATAAATCTGTTAAAATAATCTCAATGTATTTGGATGATAGGTGCATGCGTTCAAATAATGCAGCTTGTAATAGGATTGGTGGGCACTCTGAGATTCCTTTATGAAGATTTCCTGGCTTGTTGAAGGCTTTCATGGATGGAATCACTGGGCTGTTGGGAGTTTCTGGGTTGTATGGCTATGTTCCAGAAGTATTCTCTCCTGACATTTCACCCACATCTATGGCAAGCATCCTGAGAGGTTGTGAGGTCCCTGGCTTGTTAGTTATGGGCAATATATCCTTGGGATTTAGGGAAAAAATACCATTAGATCAACACAGCCTACCCACCCAAAGTCTCAAAGCCTCCCTTAATAAGTGGTACAGGAAGATGACTCCACATGAAAACTGGGGGAATGTGAAAGAGGAGTGACCAGATCAACCACCTGCTCCTGTAACCAAGTCCAGCTCACCTGTTGGTTATGGCATCTCAGCTGCCCGTTTGCTATATTAGAGTATTTATGTATTTATACGCACTCATATTTTCTTGCAAATTCATGTTTATCTGTAAATAAATGCACTGCTGATTCAGGACTGTTCATTACTATTGTGTGGCTTCAAGTCATTTCTGACTTTTGATGACCCCAAAATCAGCTCACGATGGGGTTTTCCCAGCAAGATTCATTCATTCAGATTTGCCTTTGCCTTCCTCTGAGGCTGAGGAAGCATAACTTGTCAAGGTCCACCCAGTGGGTTTTCATGGCTAAGCAGGGATACAAACTCTGGTCTCCAGAGTTGAAGTGCAATGCTCAAACCACTACACCACACTAACTCTCTATTTCACATCAGACAGTCAGTGAGTCACACAGCTTTTCCAAAACAAAACAATATGTGACATGATATCACTTATTTTCAACTACTTTCCTGACTTTCTTGTCTTTGCAGGATTTAAAAGCCATAGTTTTGGAGAGCAAATCAACATGTTTTGGTGTGATCTGGGCATTGTGGAGACAATTTTTGTTTAAATTTACTCGTTTAAAAACTGGAGAGATAGAGAGATTTATGGTTTTCAGGAGCCTCAAAAAGGGGTTCATGCAGCTGTGATCCATTTCCCCAACCCATAAAAACTTTTTAAAATTGAACATGAAAAATAAGTATTGATTTGTCACACTCAATTGTTTTCAAACTTTTATTCCATTACTTAAATTAATTCATTTAAAACACTGTTATAATTCCCACCATCCTGCTTAGATTTCTTATTTTCAATGCAGATAGATCTATTCCAATAGTGAGTTGCCGCAGATCACTTTCTGGTGAATAAACTTCATTAAAGAAATCCTGTGCACACATTCGATGTTTTCTAGCCAGTGTGCCCAATCCACACACTATCTGCTAGTCCTCAGAAACACACGTGAGTGCAAATGAAGAATGGCAGAAGAAAAATGTGTTGAATCTCATCGGTCTTTTTCCAGCTGTTCCTTTCTCCCTCCCATATAACTGTGAATCACAAAAAAATGACAAACTTCAATTTCCAATAGAATGGAAAAGACCCACAGAGAAATATTTGCAACAAATTCGTTAAATATGATTTTGAAGATACAAATTAGTATCTGTTGCTAGATGGTTATGGAGTTCTGTGACATCACCTGACTATTGTAGGCATCTTGTACTGATATGAACAGAGGCATCTGCACAACTAAAGAGAAGGAGGTGGATGATCCCCCCTCATTCTTCCTAGTCACGAGGGCACCTCTGATGATGTCAGCGTGGGATGCCCAGAACTTTCACACATCTCTGCAGGCATCTGGCAGCAGTAACATCAGTGACACAAGCTCAATTTGTCCCCCTTTCCCTGTGCTGATGAGAACAGGGAAAAAGGGATGGTGGTTTCAGCCTAGGTGGAAAATGGACCAGTCCTCATTGAATCAGGTCATACTGTCCATGGTATCCAAACTGTAGGTTGCTCTGGAGTTCTGGCCAGACTTCTTTAATGCAGGATTAAACCAGATTAACCCAATTTACTTGATGATAAGGACCAGAAGACCCTGGCTGTCACAAAGACAGCCAGAAGCAACTTCACAGTGAGTGTAAGCTATTTAATCCATGGGGATAAGCACCCAGTAACAATCGAATGATAACTTTCATATTCAGGGTTGAAACTTATCACAAGTTTGACACCATTGCTTTGAGTCTCCTTGTGGAGAGAAAAAGTGGGGAATAATAATAATAATAATAATAATAATAATAATAATTGCCACAATTATTTTTTTTATCGTGTCAGGAGCGACTTGAGAAACTGCAAGTCGCTTCTGGTATGAGAGAATTGGCCGTCTGCAAGGACGTTGCCCAGGGGACGCCCTGATGATTCGATGTTTTTATCATCCTTGTGGGAGGCTTCTCTCATGTCCCTGCATGAGGAGCTGGAGCTGATAAAGGGAGCTCATCCGCCTCTCCTGGATTCGAACCTGCGACCTGTCGGTCTTCAGTCCTGCCGGCACAGGGGTTTAACCCATTGCGCCACCACAATTATGATCATGGAGGATATAAAAAACTTTTTTTTACAAAAAGGCTGAGCTGATTATTTACAGTGTAGGTTTCTTTTCCTGTTTAAAAAAATCTATCAGTTGACCCTAAAGCTATGAACTTTTTTCAACCCATATATACTTATTGCCTTCCTTGTTTCCTGTAAAAATCTGAAGCAACCTTAACTTTGTTCTTTAAAGTACTGTGAATGTGATTGTATGTATAACTGATGTTTATATCTGATGTTTTACCATGATGCATAAATGGTCTTGAACTCTGGTAAAATACAAGATAGAAGACTCTCGATATTACTATAAATAGAAGGGTTAGCTCAATCTATTCTGTTATATTGTAGGATAGAAACATATTAAGGACAGTAATTTGAAGAACCACTGGGTTCACAACCTTTTTACAAAATTCAGAAATGAAAAATGAAATGTACTATACTTTTTCAGAAATAATACAGATGAAAATGGAATTCTAGCCTGAAATACAGATGGGGAACATTAATGATGCATCGCTAACCTTTAGTGAACTGTAAAGTTTAATACATACCTTGCTTAACAACCGGAGCACTATTGTTCATTATGCTAAGGTTCACATTGTCATCATGTGCTTGCAAGAAATCTGCTGAAGGCATAAAAGGCACTGAAAAATCAATAAAAGAGTGAAATCATGAGTGGAAGTAGTGACTGACATCTAATTAATAATATATAGAATCATTTTCAACCTCCTATTGCTAAAGTATGTAAGTGCAAAGACCTACTGGTGACATACATTCTTTAAGTGATTGTGTATCTTTTTGGATGTTGCAGAAGGATGTATTTAATACTATCTTCTGCAAAATCTTCACTTGCCACAGAAGGCAGTCTTGAAGCACTGAAATGGTTCTCCAGTCAGTCACTGGAGGTTGCCATTTACTACACAACTGGAGAAGATGGAAAGCATATTGGTAAATATTAAAATCTCAGACAAAAGTGGAGTTCCCAAATGTTGGGAAACCCTGATGAGTATCAAGGATGAATGGGAATCCTTGCAGTTCATGATTTATTTTGCGGCAAAAACATACTTTTTATGTACGTGGCATTTTCAGCTTTTATTTGGTTTTGCATTCATAGAAAACAAATTTCCCGAAAAGCAAAACATAAAAAACTTTAGCTTTTCATATTCCTGGAAATTGGTAAAAGAAAATATATAGCTCCTTACTTGAAACATGAAGTAGTATGGGTTTGTCTTTGAACTACTGGGAACCAGATCTTCTGAGAAAATGAGGAAAATTATGGATATTTGCCTAATAAACAGTATATTTGTAATACCTTGTTGGAGAGATGGAGTGCTGTTTTCCACTGCATGAAAGGGCAAAACACCATCCTCTGTTTGCAGTGAATTGACTGGAAGGACTGAAAGTAAAGACATAATATATTAATTGGAAAGATTGTGTATGGTAGGTTGAGTAAGAATGACTGACATACCTTTAATTATTTGCAACAATTTTAAAGCTATGGATTATACAATAAAGCTTGCGTATCTATGCGGGTATGTTTTCAACTAGACCATAGTTACATGATCGTGCACATCAATGGAACACCACTAAATCCCCCTACTTCAAGGCCCAGCATACCAGAGAGTTATAATGGAGGGCTTAAAGATACCTAGAGAGAATGTCTCTAATACAGCTCTGTGGCATTCTGGGCATGGATTGAGAAAATCCAACACAACTTCACGATAGCTTCCAGGGGAGCATACCATGGAACCCGCTGGAGCAGGCCCGTAGCCAGGATTTTTTCGGGGGTGGGGTGAGTTTGATTTGGGGGGGGGGCTGAGTCTGAGTGAAAGAGGGTCTACCTAGCAAACCTTTTGTATCATTACCCCAATACCCCCATGTATATGGGATATATTGAGTATGGTGATCAGATCATGATATGAATAACCATGAGAATTTTGGGGGGGGGGGCTGAAGCCCCTCGAGCCCCCCCCCCCCCGGCTGCATGTGCTGGAGGAACTAGAAAATGCCTAGATATAATTTCCCCCTAGGTGCACATATTAAGCTGGCCTTTTTGGAGCATTTTGAGGAAGTTGTTCTCAAAATGAAGGAAATAAAAATGCTCATTGTTTGTAATGGCTGAATAAGTATAGCTATGACAAACTGAATAGGTTTTGCTACTCACAGCTTACTAAGGATTGTGTTGCATTGAAACACAAAGTTGAGGAATATCTGAGAAAAAAATGTGTAACAACTAATTCAATAGTATGACTTGTTTACATCCGTATGGATTCATAGCCAGGCATTTAAGAACTGAGAGCTGATTTTTTGCTGGGTGATTTGCTGTTTTTTTTTTTATGTACCATAGAAATTGATTTAATTTTGCATTTCAACCATCAAATATATGAAAATGCTCACTTTCTTGGTGTGCTTGGAATTTAGTTAGGGAGGATCCCACATGAATCTTACAATCTCACATGTGTACTGGTACGGTTCTTCCTAAAAATGCCTCTAAATCTGTATTCTAGGAAGAATGATAAGAATATCAGAGTTTCCTAATTTTCAGACCAATAAGCTTCTAGTACATACCAAACTGATCAACTCGTGTGCTGTTGTCTGTTGTGGTAAACAGTATGCTATCATCATTTACTTGCAATGAATTGACTAAAGGGTCTAGAAAGAAAGGGAAAATGAATAAAGAGTTTGTAAATATTGTGTAAGCAGATCAAGAAAAGAATGGTTGACATATGTAATGCAATGGACATGCATTCTTTTACACAATGGATGGGAAACAAAAAGACTATGGATTACATACATCCCCAAAATAACCCTGCGCTGCTTCCCCCTAGTTCTTGGGGTCCTTACTCCTACCCAGCCACTATCCCTCACAGTGAAATTATCCTTCAGTCTCTACATTTTTAGAATTGCAATGACATCCAGATGGGAACAGTGATTAATGTTTCACTTTCTACAATGCTAGTAATGCAGCAGCTGAATGAATATTTCATTATTTACCCTCAATACCCCCCCCCATAACTACCCCATAACTATGTTCTTCCCTGAGGTTTTTCATACAGTAATTATATACAATAATAACCAGTCTTCTGGCAAAAGAGGAAATCAGAAATATATCACTATTCCAAAGGGATCATAATATTCTTTTACGAGGTTGGATCTGTGAGATGTTACTGAATTCAAGATCCAATGGTCAGGAATGATGTGTACTGCTGTACAGCAATATCTCTTGGCTCATACTGCAGGAACAAAGAGGGCAGTAGCACTAAAAGACAAAGATCACTTACTTGTATCTTGGCAGGTATCTTGGCATTCTTCCACAGACCAAAAGTTGTTTTGGTTTCCCAAACAACCACCATACATGAACTTCTCACATTTCTGTGACTCTTTATTGTAGAAATACCGGGTAATCAGTCCGCGGCAAATTCCTGGGTCATTTTCCAGAAGGCAGTAAGAAGGTTTTTCTGGGAATAGGATTGTTTCAGAGAGAAAGAAAGTGCATCAAAATTCCCCACAGTTGCTTTTACTGTTACTCATTAATTGGCTGATGGAATCACCTTGTTTGCCCAAAGTGGATTTGAGCCAATGACTTTCAGTCACATTGATTTAAGGAGCACGGATTACAGTTTCAATGGGAAAACTCCCTCCATTGATTTAAGGAGCACTCCAGTTTCAATGGGAAAACTCCCTCCATGTAACCAGAATGTATTACATCAATTTGAATGCAGGCTGCTAATCTCTGGCAAATAATAAATCTTCTGCTGAGCTCCACACAAAATTCTGTTGATGAATCAAGTTCTTGGGAAACTGGCATATATGACTGATAGGGGGCGGGGGGGGGGGGTCAGAGGTTTTGCTGGCCATGCTCAGAGGTTTAATTGCAAAAAACAAGGAAGAAGTATGGGAAAGAAATTTGATAGTAGACTATTCTGTGAATTAGATATTGTCTAGGAACACAAAGAATATTATATTTTGTTGTTCTTGATGAGAACAGGTGTTGGCATGGGAAAACATGCCTGTTATAAGATTTTGCATCCTTGAGTGAGAATGTCTTTTGTCCTGTTTCCTTCACCTACATGTGCATACACCCTTTATAGTTGTTTTGTATACAACACATTTCTGTACAAAATTATTTATATCCACAATATATTATTCCTGCCCAGTGGTTCCCAACCTTTGGGTCTCCAGGCAGGGGTGGTTCAACCCCTTATGCAAAGTAAGCATTTGCAGTTTAATTGATTTTTCCCAGGGGCGCTCTTGAGGGAAAATAGACCTTGACATATGCGAGTTGTAGTTACTGGGATGTATAGTTCACCTACAATCAAAGAGCATTCTGAACTCCACCAATGATGGAATTGAACCAAATATGGCACACAGAACTCCCACGACGAACAGAAAATATATATCAGTGATTGGTTGGGGGCGGGGATACTGTTTGCTTACCGTTGAAAATTACCTAGGGCCACCTCTGTCTCCAGGTGTTTCGGACTTCAACTCCCACAAATCCTAACAGCTGGTAAGATGTTTGGGATTCCTGGCAGTTGAAGTCCAAAACACCTGGAGGCCCAAAGGTTGAGGACCACTGTGTGTAAACCATTTTTTCATGCATTTACTCCAAGAAAGTCCAAAATAAGTGTCTTTTGTAATATAAGTCATGTCTTAGTTGAAATAAGCAAGGATTTACATCCCCAGGATTGATCTATCAAATCTAGCCTGACTCTAATTGGAGCTAACAGTTTGCTTCAGTTTAGTCTTTCCTTCGATGATTTCATTTTAAGACAATTTCTGGAAAAATAAGTTCCTTTCTGCTGATTGCAGTTCTGTTGTGAACATATAAGATTTGTTGTTCATCACAACTTAACCCAGCCATGTTGATCTTGGAAATCCAGCTAACAATTCGGATTGGAAATAGAAAAGTGAGTTACCTTTCTTAAACCTTGTTCTTTTTCTCTTCTCTGGCAAATCTTCAACTGAAACAAATGAAACAAATGAGAATAGAAAATGAAAATCTGACAGTAAAGTGTCATATAATGGAAAGTGACCATTTTTAATTTCAAAAGTATGCACAAATGCACTACAGATATAGGTCAGTAAGTAGACTGATACTACTTTCCCTGCCATGGTTCAATTTTATGGAATCAGGGGAGTTGTAGTTTTACAAGGTCTTTAGCATTCTTTGCCAAACAATGCTGGTACATGTTCAACAACCTCATTAATGTGTATAGATTGGATCATGTTCACCCTTCATTGCAGAAAAGTATTGAACTATCCTACTCTGAGGAATAGCACCAAAAGTTTATTTGGGTAATGAGCCTGATGGACTTTTTGGCCAAAGTAGTTTAACTTCTTAAGAGCATGAAAGAAAGTATTTATATGATTGCCATAAACCAAAGCCAAAATGATGGCAATTAACAACAACAGCTCTTCTCTCTTTTGCTGAAAACGATTATAGAAATATTCCTACACTTCAAATTCTAAATATGAAAAATTTCAGACTTTCCAAACAATAGGATTTATGAATGAACAGTCTAATACAAAGTTGGGCAAAAAAAGACACCTCACATTTCCACTCTCCAAGCCCCTAGTATGTTCCTTAAATCTGTGCATTTTGAGTAAAGGTATTTTGGATCTAATAATTAGACTTTAGACATGAAGTGCAACTTACTTCAAGTCCCTGGAAAAGAAAACTCTTCAGTTTTAGTTTTCAGTTATAGCCTCAAACCTCTCTATGGGCACATCCAGACAGCCCACTTATTGTGGTAACTCCCACAATAAAGAAGGGACTGTCCAAATGATGTCCTGAACAATCCAGAATTAATTCACTACAATTTAGGAAAACCCTGGTTTGTAGCAAATTAATTAGATAGTGGATTTATTCCACACCTTCTTGGAATGCATGGGATAAACCCACTATTTCTGGTGTCTGGACTGCAGTCCAGACACCATTCCCACAGTTTTCCAGACTAAATTAGTCTGGAAAACTGTGGAAATACCCACCCTCTTCCACAAAGCCCCCAAACCCTTTTAAAAAGTAAATAAAACTTACCTGGCCTCCAGTACACTGTTGCAGCCAAGCACATAGAATGACATGCCAGGAGAGCAGGGTGTGGGTGGGGGGAAGGAGCGATTTCCCCCCCCCTCTCCTGGCACATCATATCTACATGCCGGGAGAATGGCTAGTCCCGGCAGAACATCTGAACACCCAACCCAGAAAGCGCGTGCTTTCTGGGATAGGTGTAGACAGCCCCCAGGAACATCTGTGTTTTTAAAACGCAAATGATCCTGGGGTAAAGGGATGTCTGGAACCTCCCTCAATATGTTTGAAATCACCTGACCTAGAGTGTAACCTCATGTCAATATATACTTCGAGGCCAAATGAAAACAAAGGTGCATTTCTCCATTCTGAATATAAGCATATCCAAGGAACAAATAAGACCATTTAGCACTGTTTAAGTTTTGGACCAAAACTAGAATTGGAATCATCATCCCACCAATAGAAGAGCAATGAGCCATCATAGCATCCATACATTAGAGCAGTGTTTTTCAACCTGTGGGTCCCCAGGTGTTTTGGCCTTCAACTCCCAGAAGTCCTAACAGTTGGTAAACTGGCTGGGATTTTTAGACCAAAACACCCAGGGACCCACAGGTTGAGAACCACTGCATTAGAGCAATACATATATCCAAAAGATTGGCCTGACAAGTGAAAATGTGGAGAACACTTACTGTCTAGAATTTTCAGCTTTTAACACAGACAAATACCATTGCAGAAATACCAAGATGTATGTATTTGGAGTTACTCAGAGAAAAAACAAAAGTAGATAATCAGACAATTTGTTAAGGTGTCATTTTGTTAGATAAAGAGTCATACTAGACATATCTTTTAAAAGGAAAATTTGAAATGGAGAAAGGATTGTACTAACATGGTTTTATACACTTTTCTTGGCACTCTTCAAGAGTTAGGAAGTTGTTCTCATTGCCTTGACATCCACCATAATTAAAGATTTCACACTTCTGAGTCTTAATGTTGAAATGATACCGGTCATTTAATGCTTTGCATGAGCCAGAATCAGCTTTCATTGCACAGATCGATGTTACATGTTTCAGTGGGGACAAAACAGCATCTAGAGAAAAATAAATTAAAACACTGTGTATAATGATCTCTGGAAAATAATACACTGTGGCACACATGGCTCCAGAAGATATACCAACTCTTAGAGCAAGTGGAAGGCAAAAGGAAGAGGGGCCGACCAAGGGCAAGATGGATGGATGGCATCCTTGAAGTGACTGGACTGACCTTGAAGGAGCTGGGGGTGGTGATGGCTGACAGGGAGCTCTGGCATGGGCTGGTCCATGAGGTCACGAAGAGTCAGAGATGACTGAACGAATGAACAACAACAACAGAGCAAGTTGTGTAGCTAGCTTGTCATCCCTCTTTTTCTGTAGTGACATCAAAACAGAAAAAGGGAAAGTGTTAGGTAGGAGGAGAGATAATCAATTTGATTTCCCATGAGGGTAATTAGCCCCTGGTTGCTCAGCAATGCTCATGGGGTGTTTCTGGCAGCCTCTATTCTGGAGCATATAAGGCATTTCAGCAGGGACGATGGTCTACAATGCACATATTTTGCAGAGCAAATTTTCCCTTGATCTAGGATACACTGGAATTTGCTGCAGGACATTATATGGCCGAACTGAACTTTCCTTTGACTTTCTTTAATGGACTGTATACCCCTAAATGTATGTCTTGAAACCACATTATAGTGCCCGTGTAGATGGGGTCTATATTGGGGAAGTGACACAAGTTGAGATGGAGCTGAGAAACTCCTGATTTTCAAAGGAAGAAAGCCTCCCCCCCCACCACACACACACACCTTGCAAAGTACATACAAGCTTGCTCAGGTAATAGGTAATTTGTGCAGATACCTAGCCATCTGAAATACAATCTGAATACAGTAGGGAAAGAATGAGATCTATTATGGAAATACACAGTCCCTTATGAGGCCCAATTTACTTGTCTGAATGCATCTCTCCTTATGAAACATTTAGGACTTTAAGATCGTCTGGGGAGGCCCTGCTCTCGATCCCTCCTTCATCACAAGTATGTTTGGCAGGGACGAGAGACAGGGCCTTCTCTGTGGGGTTTCCACGGCTATGGAACACCCTCCCTAAGGAGATTAGATCGCCTCCCTCACTCTTGATGTTTCAGAGACAAGTTAAGTCATGGTTATATGAGCAAGCATTTACAAATGTTGAGCAACTGACATAGGAAATGGAATTATTGACAACGGAATGTGGACAACGTTTTTAATTAGGAGACGCTGATGATAATGATGTTGATTTTTTATTGCTTTTATTGTGGTTTTATACTGTTTCAATTTTTAATTCGTATTTTGTTATTATGTGTACTGACTTGTTGTAAACCACCTTGAGTTGCCGATAAGGCTGAGAAAGGTGGTATACAAGTATAGTAAATAAATAATAATAAATAATAAATATATATATAATGTACTATTGTGTACATAAAGAAATATTCTCCATTTGGCCCAAAGGTGGCACTGTGCTTCTATTAGACTAAGTTTAAATGATATTTTTAATGTTAGGAAAAAGGATGGTGTATCACCTCAAACTGTTAATGTGGAATTCAGAATGTGTCGATTCTAAAAACTATAGGCGGGGGGGGGGGGCACCTGGATGGGCCTGGGCATTTATTATGGCCTTGGGAGTCCTGGCACCTTCTCAGGAGGCATTACAACTCAGATGACAGTGCAAAAGGGGAGCATGGCTGCCATGGAGAGAAGAAGAGGGACAGGCTGATAAGGGGGCATCCAGATGGTTGGGTGGCAGGAAATCTGTTTCCTGGCCAAGTCCTCCTCCAGCTGGGTTGGGTAGCATTTTTCCTTGACTAGACCACAGACATGGGTGGGTTGTCATAGAATTATAAACATTCCTGCTTCATTTTTATGCAAAGCCCATTGATTTATACAGTTAGAGTATCCCTCATCCTAAAGGCTCAGAACCAGGACAATTCTGAATTTCAGGTTTTCCTCCTTGATTTTGTCACAGAGGTATATTTGTGTATATGCACCTAATGAGATAATGGAATACAAGTCTAAACACACAAGTCATGGGTTTCCTATATAGCTGATAAACATAGTGAGAGATGATTTTACACACTTTTAAAAAAAATTGTTGAATGAAACACATTGAACCATCAGAAAGCAAAAGTATCACTGCCTTAGTCATCCAGGCGGACAATTTGGGATTTTCTTTAGCATTTTGGATTTTTTTTAAATGAAAAAAAAGTTTCAATCTCCCTCTCCATGAAAAATAATAGAAAATGGCAAGAAAACCCTTGTAATTTTCCCTCGTAGGAAATTCTCTTCTATAAATATAAAATCACAGAAACAACTACTGGTAGTAACCTCACATTCAGTTCTGCTTTCAATCTAGACCGTAATCTTGTGTATCTCTGTGTGTGATTTGATAGTTTATTAAATGGTTGGTTTAATTTTTACAATAGAACATTCTTCCCACACTCTGCTCCTGGGCTTCCCAGTATTCCAAGTAGTGCTAAAGGACATGGGCCAGTAAATCTTATTGTGAGTCAGCCTTGAGTGGTTTACCGCAGCTAGCTGCATGGATTTGTCTCACACAGTAGCTTGGGTGACTTGTACTTGCAGTGAACTCATTGAACTGACTGAAGTTGTCCTATCCTGGCATGAGAAAAGTTGTATGGATACCAAGAAGTTGGGAGTCATGGCAGTCAGCCATGTCAAGTTTTCTCAAGGCAACTATTTTATATCTTTGTCGCCCCTTGGTCATTCACATTGGCTGTGGCTATAGCCAAAAGTACTTAACCAAATTATTTAGCAGTTGAGTTTTGCATAATAAATATGGTCCTAAATGCAAAGCAATTTAGGGATAAAAAGGTTGGTTGAGCTCCTATGAATGAACTATTCACATGCTGGTTTTCAAAATCTGCTTACACCCGCTGAAATGTGTATACTTCAATCAGGATTTTCTTATTTTGTGCTCTGGGTCCAATTTCCTTTTAAAAAACACCTCTCCACAAAGGACATGTCAAATGCCCAAGTCCTATTCAGACATTCCTTACCCTTTTGGATTGAACACAAGAAGGCACCTAACAACACCAAATCCGTCATTCCTTTCCTCAAGAGCAAAGTGCTAAGTGTGAAGAAAAGTAGTTTCTGTTTGCAAAAAGGTGTGACAAAGAATTCTGATTATCCATTGTCTTTGTTTGCATAGAGACCCTCCATATAACAGGATCCTCCATGCAAAGAAGCAAAGATGAAGGAGATTGAATTTGGCACTATTAGTGTATTGACTTAAAATGAAGAAGTAATCCATGAAGAAGGCTATAGAACAAGAATTCCCCTTTATTACAGGATTCTGCTTTACATAAGCATAAATATATGGGAAAGCATGGGAGGACCTATGACCTTCAAAGCTCTTTGAATTTAGCTTCCATGAGAGATTTTCCAAACCTCACAGCATACATGTATGCAGCTGCTTCCTAACAAATAGAATTGTGAGCATTAATTACAATATATGTCCAGATAATTTCTAGGAAATAAAAAGGAGCAGGGAATTTTAAGGACCCTGAGTACAGAATTACATTTTACCGAGACTCTAAAACAGAACTATATTTTATATCAGGGCCAGTACCAAGGGTTAGTCATGCTATGAACATAAATGTTTTTTATTTAATTTTCACATGCAAGAATATTTTCAAATGTTCCCATTATTATACTCAGGGTGGTACCTCATGAGATTAATTTTTTAATTCTGAAACTTCAAGTCACTTGGGATTTTCTTTTTTTACAACCCATGGTGACCAGGGGAACCCCCGGTGGCATGGAGCCCCTGGTGGTGCAGTGGGTTAAAGCACTGAGCTGCTGAGCTTGTTGACCGAAAGGTCACAGGTTTGAATCTGGGAAGCAACGTGAGCTTCCACTGTCAGCCCCAGCTTCTGCCAATCTAGCAGTTCGAAAACATACAAATGTGAGTGGATCGATATGTACCACTCTGACGGGAAGGTAACGGCGCTCCATGCAGTCATGCCGGTCACATGACCTTGGAGGTGTCTACAGACAATGCCAGCTTTTTGGCTTAGAGATGGAGATTAGCAACCACACCCTAGAGTTAGACATGACTGGACTTAATGTCAGGGGAAAACCTTTACCTTTGCCTTTGGTGACCAGGAACTGTGTAACCTTTTCACAAACTGCATTTTTTTAATTGAAAGGAAATTGTACAACATTCAAATTTAAGGGTTTGCTCAGAAATGCTGATTCCAGACAATCGTGTATGTGTTTTGCACAAGACTGTTGCTTTTTTACATAAAAAACAGCAACTTTGCACAATAAAAATATTGTGCAAAATCAAGCAATGATGCACAAAAGATAGCTATGTAGCTAGGATCTCTAAACTCTACACAGATTTAAATTGAAGGGCATTTGTATATTTTCTTATGAATTTTCACAAGAGGGAAATTTGCAAAAAATGTTGCTATTAAATTAAAATTAAAAAACCCAAAATACACTAAACAAAGTTCAGAAATTGTAGTCATTGACCAAGAAAATCTAGCTCAAATATAGGAGCTCAGTGCTTCATTTAGAGTTTCCCAGAATGCACTATGACCTTATGTTTCACCACTCTACTCATTGTAATAGACAGCTATTTTCATGATAAGTGTTAATACCATACCGTAGCCTTTATTATAAAAGAATCCATATTTTCTATGAGTACAGAGGCAAAAAGGCCTTTTTAATTCCTAGCAGCAACAAAGCAGTGATGTCAGTCAAGTGCAGATGCCTCCCTGAAACAGCAATAGAACTTACCCCTGCTTGTGAATTGACCCTCAATTTATCCACTCATCATATCAAAATACATAATTGTGGCTACAAAATCTTCCCTCAACTTATACATGAGGTCGACTTATATATGAGTATATACAACTGGGAATTTATCTGCCTCTTCTGCCAAAATAACTGGTGGAAATAGAGCAATGATCAGCACTCAAACAGATAATTTAGAGAAAGCAATCCAGCAGAGAAATGGTTAAATCACTTCATTACTAACCTAACCTAACCTAACCTAACAATTCCTAACTAATCTTGAACTGTAAACTAATAACAATACTAACTTTATTCTCATCTCCTGCCACCATCCCCCCGAAGGGACTCAGGCGGCTTACAAATGGAACAAAGTGCTAAAAAACAAACATAAAAGTGAACACAATATAAAATAAAATAAAACTCATACACATATAAATGCATCAACTCAGACTCAATCAAGCTGCGATCCTACAATACTTTCTGGGATTGTTCTACCTTTTCACTTCCTGGTCTGGCAGTGAAATTAACCTAGTTCTCTACTATGTGTGCATGTGTGTTCCTTCAGGTTTCTATGAGCTTATGATGACAAAATTTCATACTGTTTTCTTAGACAAAGAATATTCATTACCATTAGATAATGGTGAGAGTTTATTTATTTTGTGTCAAAAGCATTGCATAAATATGTGTAAAACTGTTAAATACCGGGAGCACAAGCAGCTAGATAATTCTAGACCAAAACAGGCAACAGTGACCGCATTGTCTGTAGCTTTAAACAGTTCTGTGCATGAGGCAGGGCATTGTGGGCAAGAATACAGATGCAGTGTTGTTTGTTCTGCTCCACAGTTCTTCTGGGTGATGATGATGGTGATGATGATTATGATAATACCTTCAAAACAATTGCTATTGTAAATTTGAAATTGATTTAGCTATCTTGGTACTTTTTGGATGTGTTAAACTAAATATTCTGCAGTCTATAATGGTTAGATATGGTCGGATTTGCACTACAACACATGTGGAAACTGCCAGTTGCACACCTTAAGTCTTGCTGGGGGAAGTAGGAGAAATACCATAGATTAATTCATAGTTAGTTAAATGTAACTAGTTATCTCCAATCTGTACTCCTGCTAGTTCCATTGATTAGAAAATGGCCTAGGACTGCAGTCTGTGCCCATCCCAATGTGATTCTGATATCATCACATCACTTTCCACAATTGTTTTGGAAACTATGAAGGCATTAGGTGTTTAAAAATACAGGATATTCTTGTTTTGGCTCTGTAGGATGTATAGAACATATCCTTCTTTTATTTAGTATACATACAATGCTGAAATGCATACCCTGCAGGAAGGCACCTGAGCTTTCTTAGAATGTGTGTATTTTTTAAAGCCAAGAATGGGTAGTTTAGTGAGGAAGGTGTGTTATACTATTTACCCTGATTTCCTTGAACTCAAGCCTAGACAACTCTTATTTGCTTCCTTAAAATATATGACTCACTCCAAGCATGGCTTTACACACCTAGATAAAACAATAGGTTTTCTCAGGTTTTTCACAACCAAGTTCATTTTGTTCATCTGTTTCCAATTAGACAAGTTGTGTTCTACCACACAAAAATGTATACATATTTATGGATGCTATCTTTGTGTACCCGTATTGTCAGAAGTATACAGAATAGATTGTGTTCAATTATGCTGTTGTGGTTCAGCAAGTTTCTGGGGAATTTTCTGACACTTTTTCAGGGAATTGATGGGTTTCAAAGTACAGAGTCTGTTAGTGACCCAAGGGAATTGCAGGTCGGAGAGGCCCCTGCTTGGTATTCCAATGCTCATTCCCAAGCAACAGACAGTGAAGATTGCAGTTGCCACGTGAAACAACCTTTGGTTGATAGGGAGTTTTCCAGCGATGCCAGATTAAGTCTCTGGATGGAGGGAGTGAAAGATAAATTAATTTGTGACTTCGTGAGAAGGTCTGTGGGAAGGCCTTGAAGCCCAGGTGTGTTAGACATGATCTCATGGAAAAAAGATTAATAATAAAATGAAATTAAATGTATATATGTATTAAAACACAGAAATTAATATAAAATTTAAAATCAATTCACTAAACCAAAACTTGGCTCATTTAAAAAATATAGTATAAAAGGTGCATGCATTTAACATAGAAGTGTGGAATTAGGCTATTGGCATGACAAAAATACTTGCATCTGACCTTATCTTTCTTCAGATAATGTGTAATAAGCCAAACTATATATGTATTGTTGTTTCAAATGTATCTACCTGAGAAAAAGCAAACTCTTTCTAGAATATGAAAGCAGTGTGATTTAAAATTAATTGCACCTCCAGCTGTCAAATATTGGCTTGAAATAACAAAGTCATTATTCCTTTCCGTGGACCATTCTTCTGTTGTCTCCTTTTTTTTTTTTTTTACAGATACTGTACTGCTAGAACTATGGAGTTCTTTTGAAATACATTTTTGTTGATGAACATTATCAAGGAAAAACAGCTTGTAACATTGAGAGAAAAGGGGTTTCTTCTTTGTCGTCTCTGTCAGTTTGATTTGACAACGTGCCACCCGGTCACTTCACCACCCACACATTGTTCAAAAAGCTTTTCCTGCAAGACAAGCTCAATCATCAGGCTGTGATGCTAATACTTCATGGACTTTCATGCATACAAGAAAGCGGGACTTCAATTGTGACGCATTCACTTTGAGAAATGTGGCCAGGAGATAAAAGTTGTTGGACGTATCAAGTAGGTTAAGGTTTTTTCCACTCTAAACAAAGTAATGTGTGTGTTGGGTTGCTATGAGTTTTCCAGGCTGTATGAACATACTTCAGAAGCATAATGTGTATGTATGGTTTTTTTTAGCTTGCAAATGCATTTTGGCTGCCAAAAAGCACAAATAATGCATTATGAATCATTTTTAAATGTATGAAAAAGCTACAAGGTATTTAGCACGCATTCAAAAGCGATTCAAGGAGGGATCTGCTTTGTCCGTAGTCCAACTTTAGGACATTGCATGTGCAAGCAAGCAATCTCAAGCAAGCCCTGTAGGCAAAATGAAATTAAGAAAGGGCAGATCCCACATAAAATTAATGGAATCTGTTGGCAATCTGAAAGTGTTCAAATAATTCGCCATAAGAAGGTGAGGTGTCGAAAGGTGGGAGAAGCCTCTAAGAACATAGGACTTCCTATGTAACTTTCCGTCAGGACCCTTCTACACTGAGTATTATAATACAATTCAAAGCCCATCTGTCTCAAATCAGTTCCAGTCCTGTAAGTCTAATCACCCGCACTGCGAAATTTATTTCTCCCAAACTGGATTCAATCTACATTATAGTGTCAGTGTAGATGTGCCCATATTTCCAGTCAATACATTTGTTACTTATATCTTTTCATCATGTCTTTTAATGTTTATTAATTTTTTTCTGATTCACTATATGCTTAACAACACCAACACCACTCTGGTAAATAAAGTTATTTCTCCTACATTCCTTGGACGAGTTCAAGTGCAGAGCAATGGTTTGAGCAATGGTCTGGATTTCTCAACCTGGAACTGTCAACCAAACAAGTCTGGACATCAACTAACACCTCTGAGAAATTCATGGTGTTACCACAAGTTGACAGCTAAATTGAATGACAATGCATACATATTCTGTGAGTAATTATACATTTATGACATGTGAAAGCATAATTTTGTGAAGATTTATAAATTAAATATGGAAACAGAATGGAATAACCTACGAATACACATATAAAACTGAGACAGACCAAACCTAGATTGATCAATGCAAAAGAAACACACAAATGTTTTTCTTTGTTTTAAGTGGTGTTTTACAGATCTGGTATGTGTTATCATTTATGATAATGAAAAGTCAAGACTCCTTACCTACATCACCTTCATGTTCTTCCCCATCTTCTGTTACTTCAATTGTATAAGGAACAACGCTGACCAGAAGATGTAAAATGGTGGCCAGAAACATACTTATTCTCATTCTTCCCATTTTTCCTAAGCAGACAAAATAAAATATATGTATCAGAGACATTTAAAACACATTTGTGGTCTGGTCTTATGGCCTTGAACAAGTCGTTTGCTTTATATTTTGTCTAAATGATCTCACCAAAATGCAATGCTCTATAATTTGTTACATAGTTGATCTATATATCTGTACTGGCAGGATCTGCTTCCTCGTTGGATTGTTTCAGCAGCAATAATTTTACATAAATATTATAGGGAGAACGTTTTGCAATCTGAAGGTCATATGGTAATATCCCAGAACAGCGCTACCAGTATTTCTACTGTGGAAATTTTAGTTGAAGTTTACTTCACTTAAAAAAGTACACACACACCCGCTACATTATAAACTGGTACTTTATTCTCCCCCCCCCCCCATAAATCACAACACTATATCTCTTTCTATTGTTTGAGTTTTGAGTGCCCTACTGTATAATTATCCAAAATAGATCAAGCTGAATACAAGAAATGGACAGCAGATTGCAAAGTGACAGACATGCTGATTATAGTGGTTTTAAAAAAGCCAAAAAGTGGCAAGAGCATTAAACAACAATAACACAGAGGTCTTTATCTTGCAGGAAAGCAAACATGAAAGCATTAAAACAATCTTGGCTCAGAACATTTCTCTTGAACAAGGATAGTTCAAGAAGGCTTAAAACCTCAGAGGGCAGGCAAATGTATGGCTCCATAAAAATTAAAATATCACAATATTGTAGATATTGTTGTAAAAATATGCAACAAAATACTGAGGAAGTGTAGTAGGCCCAGGAGTTCAACCAACCAACCAAGCAACCAACCAACAAAATAACCCAGAGTGGGTAAAAGTCCAATTCTGGGTCTGAGAAACTGTAACTCATAAAATGTCAAAAATTACAGATGCCTCTGCTAACAGTTTTAACAAAAACAGGTCCCAGGTGTCTGGAAGGGGAAAGGGCTATAGAAACAGCCTTGCAATTGCTTGATGATTGAGACAGCACTTTGCCTACCCCTGCTTTAAATACAATGATGTAATAGTGACAGCCATATAATCTTGATACATCTGGTGTTGCAATTTCCAGCACTGACCTGTATTCAACTATTCCCACCACGTGGATTGTCTGGGTTTATTGCCTTGTTTCTAAAATTAGTTTTAGAAGTAGTTAAGGCTTGTTTCTTGTATCCGCTGCCTGCACCATTTCCAGCTCAAGCCTTGAAATCTATGAATAGTGAGCTCTTGACAGGAATGATGGCAAGGCAAAGCATTCAGAATGTCACTTCCTCATCTTTCTCAGAGGAAGTATGAAAAATAGGACAAAGAGTTTTGTTGGTTTTTTTTATTTTGTAAAATTTTCCTCCTTTCCAGGTATTGTTGTTGAGGTTTCAAATTTTCAAGAAATGAGGGGAGTTGTTATCAACAAACACATCTGCCCTGTAAAATTGCCTACAAAAATCACTGACTACCTAGTGTTGTTTCCATGAGTTCCCTATTCACTTAGGGAAATGGAAAGTTGTTTGGTCCAATAGTCTAGACCAGGGGTCCTCAAACTTTTTAAACAGAGGGCCAGGCCACAGTCCCTCAAACTGTTGGAGGGCCGGATTATAATTTGAAAAATATATATGAATGAATTCCTATGCACACTGCACATATCTTATTTGTAGTGCAAACAATACAATAATTAAAATGAAGAACAATTTTAACAAATATAAACTTATTAGTATTTCAATGGGAAGTGTGGGCCTGTTTTTGGTTAATGAGATAGGACTGTTGTTGTTGTGGTTGTGAGCTTTCAAGTCATTTCAGACTTAGGTTGACCCTGAGTGAGGGCCTGGTAAATGACCTTGGAGGGCCGTATTCAGCCCCCGGGCCTTAGTTTGAGGATCACTGGTCTAAACTCAGCTCATTTGTTCGAACCTGAAGAAACAAAACTAACAGGTGCAGAAGAGACATCCAAGGCTGCTCAGAGAGGCTAAGGACATTTTCCCGGATGCTTTATCCTGAAGCATTCTGGTAAACTGCACAGGTTTTTTGAGTAATGTTCACTAGTCATATTAGGCAATATTCTTGTGTGTTTAGGGGGATGGGTGCAATAGCATAGAAAGCAGCATTTTATGTGCAAATATGTTTTCTGTAAAGAAATCACATTTTCTAAACAGGAAACTTTTGTTGTGGGCGGAAAAAGCACCCTGTGCATAAAATAATGTTCTCTATGCAAATGACCCACATATGTTTTTGCACACAATAAGTCATAAACTGCAAATATTTTTGTCCAGTAGGGATTTTTCTCATCAAGGTTTCCTAACACTTGTTTTCATCTGGGATTCAAACATATTCTTTCTATCCTTCGTGGGAATCATAACGAAAGTTTTAGGCACAAGAAAACAAAACCAAAGATGTGTCTGCACTGTAGAATTAATGCAGTTCGATACCGCTTTATCTGCCATGGCTCAATGCTATGGAATCATGGTAGGTGTAGTTTAATAAGGTATTTAGCCTCTTCTACCAAACAGTGCCTCACCAATCTCCCATGATTCTGTGGCATTAATCTGCAACAGTTAAAATGGACTCACATTGCTTTAATTCTACAGTGTACATACTCCTTAAGAAATGTGTTCATTTGTTATTTCTACTGCAATCAGAGCTAGATCCTTTTTCTGTAAGTCCCAAATGTTTTATGCCCTCATTACAAAGGCTAGGCCAAGCATCCTGCTTCACCTCGTTTCACTGTGGGACAGAGGGCAGGAGTGGGTAAATCTGTCATCCCGTGCAATGCTCCCTTGTGACAATGCTTTCCCATCACATTTGGGAAGTGCCCCCCCCCCCCCCTGGGAAGGACCACTGGACCCAGCACAACACAAGCAGGCTCCTGTGTTGGGCAAGAAGCATCAAAGGATGCTTCCACCCCAGGGTCTCTGCCAAAAGTTACATGACCTCGTATGATTGGCCAGCCTGGGGCTCCATCCCCAAGACAGGGTGGAAGCATCCTAGAATTTCCCTATCTGATGAGGCTCCTAGACCGGTGGTTCTCAACCTTCCTAATGCCATGACCCCTTAGTACAGGTCCTCATGTTGTGATGACCCCCAACCATAACGTTATTTTCATTGCTACTTCACAAATGTAATTTTGCTACTGTTATGAATTGTAATGTAAATATCTAATATGCAGTATGCATTTTCAGTCACTGGACCAAATTTGGCACAAATACCTGATACGCCCCAAATTTGAATATTGGTGGGGTTGGGGGTGATTGATTTTGTCATTTGCTGGAGTTGCTGGGATTTATAGTTCACCTTAAATCAAAGAGCCTTCTGAACTCCATCAATGATGGAATTGAATCAAACATGGCACACAGAATTCCCATGATCAAGAAAAAATACTGGGAAGGTCTGGTGGACATTGACCTTGAGTTTTTGGAGTTGTAGTTTACCTACATCCAGAGAACACCGTGGACTCAAGCAATGATGGATCTGGATCAAACTTGGCATAAATCCTTAATATTCCCAAATGTGAACACTGGTAGAGTTTGGAGAAAATAGACCTTGCCATTTTGGAGTTGTAGTTGTTGGGATTTATAGTTTACCCACAATGAAATAGCATTCTGAACCCCACCAACGATAGAATTGGACCAAACTTTCCACACAGAATCCCCATGACCAACAGAAAATACTATGTTTTCTGATGATCTTTGGTGTTCCCCTCTGACACCCCCTCGTGTTCCCCCAGGGGTCCTGACCCCCAGGTTGAGAAACACTGCCCTAGACCCACCAAAGTAATAGTCAATGGCTGATGCTGATGTTTCAGTCTGAGAGGGTTGCCTACACAGAAGTGCACTTTTGACAGATGAATAGGTTGGAGGGAACAAACAATATCTGGTAAGGAGATAGGAAGATGAAGCAGCAAAGCATTCAGTCATCAGATGCTTCCTAACCAATTGATTGCTCTTATTTATTCCTAGGACTTGGGCATCCATCTGATTCTTCAGTCTTTTGGCATCATCATTTACACCAGAATTTCTCAAACTGTGCTCCTCCAGATGTTTTGGACTTCAGTCCCACAATTCCTAAGAGCTGGTATACTGGCTGGGATTTCTGGGAGCTGAAGTCCAAAACACCTGGAGGAGCACAATTTGAGAAACACTCATACCCTCTCATTCTAGGCAGAGACATGATGAACATACATGGAATTGCATATTGACTATATGCCAAAATCTTTACCTTCAGGGAATCACTACTTTAGATGTTTACAATAAAATATCATGATTTATGGGTTTAGGAATGACATTGCCCATGTACACACCTCAAGTAACATGCAGAGGCTTGTACATGCCATCTTTCAACCCTCTGGAAATAGAATAATAATTTGAGTTGATTATAAGTGATCATTAGTTTCTCTGTGTAATGCACCCACTGAAAAACACTCTACGTCAGGGGTTTTACTTATTTTCATCTGCTCACTGTTTTACTGAAAGTCCTTTTATTTGTGCAACTCTTGACGAAAGATGAGTCACAAAGTAAATGGTTTGTTCCAATGTCTAGACCACATTGCTAAACAGCTTGACACCACCATTATACTGAATTATTGCTATGTACGATGACCTTCCATTTTATCAAGATCCAAGATATGGTTTCAAGAATTTACTGAGTCAGCAGTGACATCAAAATATGTATGTTAGGGTAAGACATATTCCATCTTGTGAGACTGTGGAGCAGAACAAACAACTCATCTGTATGCTTGCCCACAATGCCCTACCTTATGCACAGAGGAAAAATTGTTTAAAGCTACAGACAGTGTGGTCACTGTTGTCCATTTTTGGTCAAAAATCATTTAACCCCTTGTGTTCTCTCTATTTTTTTTATCAGTTTTCTACTTATTTATGCAATGCTTTTGACATGAATTTAAAAAATATTAGACATATTCCAATGATTCTGATTAGGAGCTGAATTACATCTAGCTAGCTACTTCTGTAGAATTTTCATTTTAGTGACTAATTCTTCATCATATATAATCAGGCTTATG